AAAAGGGGCTATGCAGGGACTGGCGCTGTGGGGCAGTAGGCTAAGCCTCTGCTTGCGGCACCCTTGCCGTGTGTGTCTCAGCTGCTCCTCTTTTGAGCCAGTTCTCTGTTGATGGCCTGGGAAAGCAGCTGAAGATCTGCGTGCAAGACCCGGAAGAAGCTCCTGGCTCCTGGCTTCAGGATTGACTCAGCTCTGGCCATTGCGGCCATTTGGGGAGTGAAGCAGAGGATGGAAGACCTCTCTCCACTGCCTTCCCACACGATTTAGCGGGGACCTGGAATGGAAGCAGTGCAGCAGGCACTTGAACAGCGCGCCAGTGTCACAGGTGGTGGCTTAACCCCAACACTGAGAATTCTGACATGGGGAGATGACCCTGGGTCATCTGAGTAGGCCCAATACAGTCATAAAGGTTGTTATGAGAGAGAGACTGAAAGATCAAGGTCAGAGGCAATAATGCAACAACAGAGGCAGAGATCAGAGTGATGGCGCTGAGAGTCAGGGAATGCAGGCAGCTTCTGGAAGCCAGGAGAGGTAAGAAATAGATGCTCCTGCAGCCTCCAGAAGGAACCGGCCTGGCTGACTCCTTCAGCTTATCCCTGTTAGGAATCATGTTGGACTTATGACCTCCTGGACTTTAAAGAGAATACATTCCTGTTGTTTTAAGCACTGGGTTTGTGCTGATTTGTTACTGGGTCAATAAGAAATTGATACATGGGAGATCTTTCTTTTCAGATAATGCTTTGAACACATAGCTATTTTTTTTTTATTTGACAGGTGGAGTTATAGACAGTGAGAGAGAAACAGAGAGAAAAGTCTTCCTTCCGTTGGTTCACTCCCCTATTGGCTGCTACGGCCAGCACTGCGCTGATCTGAAGCCAGGAGCCAGGTGCTTCCTCCAGGTCTCCCATGCAGGTGCAAGGCTCAAGCAACTTGGGCCATCCTCCACTGCCTTCCTGGGCCACAGCAGAGAGCTGGACTGGAAGAGGAGCAACCGGGACTAGTACCCAGCGCCCCAACCGGGACTAGAACCCCGGGTGCCGGCGCCGCAGGCAGAGGATTAGCTAAGTGAGCCACGGCGCCGGCCTGAACACATAGCTATTTAAGAACCTCCAGGGCTTCCTCATCGTGTCCTAGTCCACATTTAAGTTCCCCAGCGAAGCACTCAAGGCCTATTTATTTGCACTCATTTTTGCCATGACACCCTCCCTAGCCTTCTCCAGACGTGTTTCCTACCTGTCCTTTCCTCTCAGGACGACTTGCCACCTGCTCACATGCTCCATCACTCCCTTTCTAATTATATTCAATGCCTCCCGAAGCCTCTCCCTGCCTTGTGTCCCCTCACACCAAGAACTGGTCTGCGGTCCCCAGAAAGCTCTGTGCGTGCTCCGCCATCCCTAATGTGCTTCATGGCCATGGTGTCTCTCTGAGTGTCACTGCTCTCCCACACCCCACACTAGGCTCTAAGACACGGGGCAGCACAGAGTTCCCAGTCAGCATCTATTTTAATCTGCTGTATTGCTTTTCTGTGGCTGCTGTGACAAATTACCACAAACAAGGTGGCTTACAACAAATGTGTGCCTCCTGATTCTCAGCATCCTGGAACTGGGGCACTGGCGGGGTCTCACTCTCCTGAGGCTCTTGGGAGACTCCTGTCTTCCAGATTGGGGTGACTGCCAGCTTTCCTTGACGTCACTCTAGGCCTCTGTGGCCACACTGCCTCCACCTGGCCAGTGTGTCTCTTCCTCCTCTGTGTGCCTATTTTATTAGAATATATGTGATTGCCCTTAGGGCCCACTTGTATAATCCGACATTGTCCTCTCATCATAAGATCCAAACTTAAATGCTTCTGAAAGATCCTTTTCCCACACATGGTAACATTCGTAGGTTCCAGATATTTGATGCCATTATCTTTTGGGGAATCACCTTTCCACCCACCACACCTGCCCGGCATCCATTCCCTTTTTCCGGTATCAACCCTTTTGTAGTAAAAAGGGGAACCACATCTCCCCCAAACTCAGTGCACGCCCCTCCCCAACACAGTATTAGACCTGACCAATCAGCATATTTTGCCCCCTTTAACCACAATCATTGGCTCAGCAATGGGCATGTGACTCAAGCCAAATTAATGAGATGAATTTCCAGGACTTCTGTCTGAACAAATAGAAAATATGATTTTTATTCTAAGATTCTTAGATTAAACAAAAAGCATACATTCACTCACTATCTGGAAACAATACTGGGCTAATTCTAAGAAAGTTGAAGGAAGAGCAGGTACCAGGCCTCAAGGACTAGAGCCAAGACTCAATGCTCCAGGACGCACACTCCCCACTCACAGCTGGTTTCTTTCCATCAGAGATCTTCCTCCAAGTGGAAGGGAAGGTGGTTGCTAGCAGCCTCAGGATGGCACTTTTTCTCTACAACCACTCCATCTCAGCATCTGCTTATCAATGTCACAGAACTCTGAAGCTGTCTACTTGTGTTGGCAGAAGCCCAAGTCTTGAAATAATTACTTTCTTTAGGGAAACCATGATTGATCTAGGCTATAACATGTTGCCAGAGGGTGTGTCAGGCAACAAACAACTAAACAAACCACCATCAACAAGAAAATGCCTCTGTCCTTGTCTTATAAAACTTGTACTTTAATGAGAGAGAGAAATCACACAAATGAATGTATATGAAATTACTGAGGTATATGTCATGAGAAAAAGTACATAAAGACCATAGCAGGGAGAATGATTCATTCCAGAAGTTTAGGGAAACTTCCCTTGAGAAAATAACATCAGAATTTAGGTCAGGAGGAGGAAGCGTGGAATGGAGATTGTTCTTGGCAGTGGGAATAGCATGTGCAAAGTCCCTGTGGCAGAATACTGCACTGTTCCCTAGGAGAATTAAGATAAGACCAGCATGGTTGGGGAGAGCATGGTATGGAGTGACACTGAAGAGCAGGGTAGGGGCCCAACCATGAAGATCATCATAAGCCACATTGCATATTTTACACTTGATCTGAAGTGTCATTGGAAGTCACTCAAATGTCTTAAGGTAGTGGGGAGGGAAAGGGTATTAGACATGAACAGAGTTGTATTTGGAGAAGATCATTCTGTATTGTGGAGAAAAGGCTGGAGTTGAGCCTAAGCACTGCAGGAAGATACATTAAGTTTTAAATTGATTTCCAACTGACAGAGATTTATGCATTCCTACTTCCTCCTACTTTCCCATTAAGCAGATTACATTGGAAAAAACACATCTGTTAAATTAATGAAAGAAGCTTTTAGATGAATGGTTGTTTTGCAAATGGATCATTTCTTTATTTCTTTTTCAAAAACTATCCCCCTCCCTCCATCATAGTCTGCAATTTGGGTCTACTAACTTGCTCTATAAAGAAATCAGGAAAATAAGGCATCAGGATCTGTACAAAATCTGCGAAGGCAGGAAAGAATGAAGTCATATCATTGTTTAGTTCCTCTCTCCAACCCTCACAGTGGCTCTCAAATTCAGATCGGTAGCCCACACTTCTCTGAACCTCAGCTTCTCCACTTAGATGACTCATTTTGGAGGGTAAATCCTGACACCAGCCTTCTTCTACAACTCGGCTCTTTTTTTTTTTTTTAAGATTTATTTATTTATTTGAAAGTCAGTTACAGAGAGAGAGGCAGAGAGAGATCTTCTATGGCTGATGGGTGCAATGGACAGCATTGGGCCAAGCGGAAGCCAGGACCCAGGAACTTCTTCCACGTGAGTGCAGGGGCCCAAGTACTTCGGCCACCTTCCATTGCTTTCCCCAGGGAAAGCAGGGAACTGGATCAGAGTGCAGCTGCCAGGACACCAACTGGGCGCCCATATGGGACATCAGCATCACAGGCAGTGGCTTTACTGGCTATGCCACAATGTGTGTCCTATACAACTCGGTTGTTTCAAGTTGTAACAATGCCTCTTTTACCTCACCGTGTCCATCTACTATACCAACAAGTCCTATGAGTTTGCAACCACTCTGGCCCAAACTATCACATGGCCTGTATTACCATATTAATTTCCTGATAGAACTTCTCACCAACTAATAAGTATTTATTTTCATCTAGCTCTAATTTCCGGGAGACCAAGAGAGCCCTTGTCTTTCATTTAGTGCCTGGACCCCAGGGTAACCTTGTAGACGCCTCCACAAGTACTTGTTGTAATGAATACTTGGTATTTTTATACTGCTACATACACAGTAATTCGTTTCAGGATGCCTAGATGTGTGAAAATTGATGGTGAGGGCCTTTTACAAATGAATCCCCTAAAACAATGGATGGGAAGTGGGGTTAGCCATCTCCGCAGTTGCTCCAGGTCCCTTCCAAGCCAGGTTTTCTACCTAAGCCAACAGTCTTCCATCTTTGGCCACTGAGGGTATAAAGCTACTCCTTCTCCCATACTGCACTGCATCCTGCCTGGCTGGCACAGCCCTCACAGGCGAGCCTACACGGAGCCGGCACCAGAACACCACCAGCCCTCGTGGCCCAGCACTGGACCCTAGGCCATATGGGCTTCGCCACTACACAGCACTCGTGACAAAATCAAAACGCTGGGAAGAAACTTTCGGGGACTGGATCTGCAACCTGGCTACGAGTTAAAGAGCAGGGTGTGCCCTACTAAAGGGTCCTTGCTGGTCCCTAGGGTTGGTGGGACGTGAAGATGGCGTCATCGCCCAGATCCAAAATGGCAGGATGCTCGGGATGAAGACAGGGCCCTCGGGCGAAGCGAAGACAAGCGCGAGAGAAAGCGTAATTGTTTTGCTCCAACACTAAGGGGGCGGCTGTAAGAAGAACCGATAGCCGCATTGACCTAATCAAAGATGGCGCCAGAGCTCACTACCGGGAGCGCGCAGGAAGCAGGGCTGACCCTGATCCAAGATGGCGGCGCCGATCGAGGCGAGCCGAGGGGTTGGCGCGCCAGGAGCGTCCGTGCCCTCATTCAAGATGGCGGCCGCCGTGGGCGCTGTCCCCGGCTCCGCCCCGCCGCCCCGATCCCGCCTCTCTCTCGTCCCTCTCTCCGCCCCCTCGCCTTCCTGAGTCCGGCCCGGGGTGCTCACGCACGGAGAGCGGGCTTCAGGCACTGGACATGGCGGCGGCGGCGGCCACTGCGGCGACCAAGGGGAATGGGGGAGGCGGCGGTCGGACCGGGGCCGGCGAAGCCAGCGGCCCTCGGAAGAAGAAGGGCCCAGGGCCTCTGGCCACGGCGTACTTGGTCATCTACAATGTGGTGATGACGGCGGGGTGAGGCTGGGGCGCGGGGAGGCGGGGAGGCGGGGAGCGAGCCCGGCCGGGGAGGGAGCGGCGCGGCCCGCCGCGCTCAGTGCCGCGGCGGCGGTCGGTGTCCGGGAGCCCGCGCGCCAGATCGGCCCCGGTGCCGACCCGCGAGCTCCCTCCTGCGCGGGGCGCGAGCCAGGTCCCCCAGCACCGGGTACGGGGAGAGGCGGGCGCCGGCTCGGGAGGACCTCGGAGGACCGGTGGGCTGGCCGGTCACAGGTGCAGCAGGTCTGGGGGCGGTGAGCCGGGCCACGCCGCAGCGCAGCTCCCGTTCCGCCGCGCACGTTGCATCCGAGGGGAGGGCAGGGAGCTGTGGCCGCAGAGCCACCATTCCTGTAAGTCCAGCCTGAGCTTAGCGCCGAAAGGGAATGGGAAAGCGTTCAAAGTTTTTGACCAGTGACAGGAGTGCAGCGGTGCTCGAGATGAAGCCAGACTTCGCAGGAGGGAGTGAGGTTGGGGTGGAAAGCAGAGGTACCAGAGAGGGGGGAGTGGACGCTCAGGCCCCCTCATTTCAGCCCAGCCCTCATCACAGCAGATGTTTCGTTCTGGTTCTGACACTGGCCAGCCGAGCGTCTGTGGGTTGGTCGGTCGCCTTCTTCCACCTGACCTCCCTCGTTCTATAAAACCAAAGAGTTGGGGTGAGTGATCTTCAGGGTCCTCCCACTCCGCCTTTTCTGTGGGTTTGGCGAGGATCGCAGGATCAGACCATTGTCATGTATTTTGAAATTGTGTTCACTGGTTAGAAAAAAATTTCCCAACATCTTATTATAAAAAAAAAATCTCAGACCAAAAAGTTGGTTAAAGAACCTTAGTGGATGTCCTGCTGCTGTTTTTAAGAGTAGGTAATGAATGCATGGGCAGGATGAGCGGGAGGCTTCCTGTCCTGTGTAACCCTAAGCGGCTGAGCCCTGCACACCTGTGAATACTCTACACTCCCCTCCTTTTTCTAAACACAAGTGCTAATGCCCACTGACAGCTCAGCACCTTGCTTTGTTTCATGAAAAAAAATCTAGCTAACTAGCTGGCTAGTTGTCTGTGTCCTTGGAGGACCACGGTCTTATTGCTAGTATTAGAAATGGTGGGTGTTGGGGCCCGGTGCTGTGGCGCAGTGGGTTAAGCCTCCACCTGGGAAGCAGCCATCCCATTCTGTATGGGCGTGGGCTGCTCCACTTCCCATCCAGCGCCTTGCTAATGTGCCTGGGAAAGCAGCAGAAGGTGGCCCAAGTGCTTGGACTCCTGCACCCACTTGCGAGACCTGGAAGGAGTTCTGGTTCCTGGCTTGGGCCTGGCGCAGCCCTGGCTGTTTTGGCCATTTGGGGAGTGAGCAAGCGAATGGAAGATCTGTCTCTGCTCCTCTCTATGTAACCCTGCCTTTCAAATAAATACAAAGTAAATCTTTAAAAAAAGAAATGGTAGGTGTTGAAACCTAGACTCGGAGAAGTGTGTCTTGCTTGAGCTCATAGCAGCTGTTACTAAAAGTTCTGGAACAATAAAGAGCTATTAGTTACAAGTTTTCTTTCACATAGAATGGCCACACAGATGATTTTTAAAAGAACATTCTGGAATCTGTGTTTATACATAACATTCTTATTTTCTTAGCAAAAGCATTGGAAAGAGCATTACACTGAGGAGGGATTTGAAGATATACTGGGGAAGAAGAAAAGAAGCCTTTATTTGTGGGCAGGGAACCTGGAGCCTGGGGCGGAGGGTAGGGCGTTGTGTTTAAACCAGGTCGAGAAACAGACTTCGAAAGTAGAGTGATGCTCTGACTTCGGATAGATCAGAGCAGTAACTGATTGCTGTTAACGCTGACCACTTACACCAGTAAGGATTTCATTTCTTTTACAAGCTCACGTTTGTGCTTGTGTGATAGTTTCTAGGAAGGATCTAGACCACATCCCATTGCCGTCCCACTGCCTGGCTGGCCTTGCACCCTGCAGGCAACGTGTGAGTGCCTCGCGGGCGTACCGTCATACTAAAGGTCCCGTGGCCTCAGTAGGAACTGAGCACATTCACAATCCCAGACCAGTACTGGAAAGGACAGTGGGACAGTGTGGCGTTCACAGCTGCATGCCAAGTGGCCACCTGTTTTGTGTTTCCCTACTCAATAAGACCGTCGATCTGCTTTTCTTTTCTGAGATGATTTTGGAGCATTCTTGTAGAAATCTTTATTCTTTAAAAAAGCCCAGAACCTTTTATCCTTACTTCATTTGCAATTTTAAAAGGATTGATTTTTAGATATGGATATGTTCCAGTGAGACACTTACAAAAGAGTTTTGAAACGTCTTCACTGTATTAGTGTTGAGACCCTTTAACCGCATAGGCAGTTAGAATTCCTTTTCTCTTGTTAGACTTTCCGGCGCCTAGCTTTAGCTGCACACAGGCGATTTTAGCGTATTCCCTTCATGTTGGCTGTGTTCTCTACAGACCAAGTTGCCAAAAAGCCAAGCTCCAGCTGGGGGAGGCGGAGTGCTGCTGGCACCAGGGCACTTCCGTGTTTCCCACTTGGTGTCGGAGAGCTACAGGCCAGAAGTGCGGGACCCTGACGGCTGAGGTCCTCTTCAGCACCACCTGCCATTGCCCTTTCTTCATGTTACCTTAAATTCTGTGTATCATTTTTCGTCCCTGATTATGTTTTTCTCGTTTATCAGGTGGCTGGTTATAGCGGTTGGTCTGGTCCGAGCGTACCTGGCTAAGGGGAGCTACCACAGCCTTTATTACTCCATTGAAAAGCCTTTGAAATTCTTCCAAACTGGAGCCTTATTGGAGGTAGGTCCTGAGACTTGTTATTGTTGCTGATTCAATTGTCATAAGGTAAACAACGTGCTACTAAATTATATGGAAGTAGCCATAGCTCTGTTGGATTGGCTTTAAATTTTAATTTTTGTCTCATAGCATATTATAATGACTTTTTTAAAATTTCCAATTAAGGGAAAATTCCATTTGTGTTACTTGGAATATATTTCAGATTCAACTTTTATTGGAAAACAAATGAAGCAAGGCTATAGTGGAATTTAAAAACATTCTAGGGCTGTCCTAGGGAAGTGTTGGTAAACGCAGATCCCCGAGGGGCTACCCAGTGGAGGAAGCACAGCTGATAGCTGTAGGACAGTAGGAGTGAGACGTGGGCATCCAAATTATAAAAAAGAATTTGTTTCAACAAGTTCTGTGATTTTCCTTATTAAGGGCAATGTATATCTGGTTCTCTCTCCTGGGGTAAGTATAGGGCAGAAACCCAATTCATATGATTTTATGCAAAAGAGGCACACACTCGCTTTGTGGTTGATAAAGATACAGGATGAATTTACAGTGTCCGAGAAGCAGCAAAAGAATGAGAACCCGGGGTTTGATATTGCCACACTCAAACCATGCAGCTCTCCTGCTTCCCTCTGAATGCTGGCCTTGGGCTCTGCTGCCGCAAAGGGCTTTCTCCCTGGGGCAGGAAGCAGGTGCCAAGTCTGTGTCCCTCAGCCCCTAGTGTCACAGGCAGTTCCAGGGAAGGGTTCAGGTTGGCCCTACTTAGACTCTTGCTGATGATGCGAGGTACCTAGTTGCTGAGGCGTGGGGCGCATGTCCCTCTTCTGGCCAGGAGACTCTAGGAGGGGAGGGGTGGCAGTTTGGGGCACCCCTGGCGCCGTGGGGTGGTGATCCTCAGGGTGCAGGAGGGGCTGGGCTGCAGTTTCCCTCCACTTGGCCCTCCCTCATGTTTATACCTCAGGCGCAACTTTTAGAGCCTGAACTATGGAGTCATTGTTAACAAACTGTTTACCTCCATTAAGTAAGATACGACGCCACTACTGCGCACCTTCACTTTCAAAAGCAAAAAGGTATAGTTTGGGGTTTTTTGTTTTCTCTTAGAATGCAGAGGGATTTTCGTGCTGTCGGTCGGCATTTAGGAGGTGGCGTGATGACACCCACTTCCAGCTCAGACTCCGAGTACCCTCATTGCGAGTGTGCTGTTTCTAATCAGCTTACTCTGTGAAGCCACCTTCAGTAGGTTAAAGTTGATGTGCAAAGTCTCCTCCTGACCTAACAGTCTGAGTCTAAGAAATGGCAGCAAATCCTGGTGGAGCCATTTGTTAATCTCAGAGCTTGGCTTTCTTTAGTGGGGGCAGGGTGACTGCTAGCACCTGGTGTCTCAGCGCCTTGGCCGACACAGTTGCCTCGAGCTGCAGAGGAGCCGCTTGGGTCAGACCCTCAGAAGCTGCACAATATTTGTGCCCAGTGGGAACACTTCCATGATTTAAAGGAGATTCTGTCTTTTTACTTTTTAAAAGATTTATTTATTTTTTATTTGAATGGCAGAGATACAGAGAGAAGGAGAGAGAAAGAGAGAGAGAGAGATCATCACTGGTTCACTCCCAAATAGCTGCAATGGCCAGAGCTGGGCTGATCCAAAGCCAGGAGCTTCTTCCAGGACTCCCACATGGGTGCAGGGCCCCAAGCACTTGGGCCATCTTCCACTGCTTTCCCAGGCCATTAGCAGGGAGCTGCATTGGAAGTATAGCACCTGGGACTCGAACCAGTACTCATATGGGATGTCAGCGCCACAGGTGGAGGCCTAGCCTACTAGGCCACAGAACTGGCTTTTTATAAAGTACTCCACCAGCACTGCAGGTGGAGGCTTAACCCACTGTGCCACAGCACCAGCCCCAGGAGACTCTATCCTTTTATGACTTTGTAATGTTGGAAGTATGATTTAAAAAAAAATTAAGTACATCTCAAGGAAGGTAGGGGCATTAAACAGTGGGAGACAAAATCCATTCAGGAAGCAAGTCTTAGACTTTGAGAGATTATACTGTTTTTCCCTATCGGATTTTTAATAGGGATTTAAGAAACTATTTTTGGATTTTTGGTTTTATCTCATCCCTACTAAGAAGCAATTAGGTGACAAATCCTGGATTTGATTTTGGGAAGAGAGCTGTGTATAAGGAAGCGAAGACTCCAGACCCATGCAGGGAATGAGCACAACATGGGTCCATGGCAGCAGGAATCCCTCAGACCGCGGTAGTGCAAGGTTGCTGAAACTGCTTCCTGTGCAGCAGGTCAAGGAGTCTGTCCCCTGCCCACCCCAGCCCCCCAGTGTACATCGGGTCAGAATTAGATACTTGTGGTGGTGTGAATGGATGGTGCCTGGCAGTATATCCTGTTTACAGGAGGAGAAAACGAAGGCAGGGCATCAGCTACAGAATTTGCTTAAAAAGAAAGTAGAAATCACTCATATCAAACTTCACATCTTCTTAGGAAAACATAACACTTTGCTTTATAAACGACTGAGAAAGTCTTAAGCAAATGCAAATGGACATGTAGTAGTATAAAACAAGAAGATGCCTACTGTCTGAGGAGACGAAATGAGTTTTTGCAAAATGTGTATGGGTACAAAGATATGTTGAGTTGATGATAAGATCACATGGCTTTTTTTTTTTTAAGATTTTATTTATTTGAGAGGCAGAGTTACAGAGAGAGAGAGAGAGAGAGGCAGAGGGAAAGATCTTCCATCTGCTCGTTCACTCCTCAAATGGCTGTAACAGCTGGAGCTGGGCTTATCAGGAGGCAGGAGCTTTTTCTGGGTCTTCCACCTGGGTGCAGGGGCCCAAGCACTTGGGCCATCTTCTACTGCTTTCCCAGGCTATAGCAGAGAGCTGGATCGGAAGTAGAGCAGCTGGGACTCGAACCAGCACCCATATGGGATGTCGGCGCCACAGGTGGAGGCCTAGCCTATTAGGCCACAGCACTAGCTTTTTATAAAATGGTCATAATTCCTGGTATTTTTTTCTCTGCATATTCATCCAAGAATGTGTTGAGTATTTTTGATAGTTAATTTTCCAAGTTATCCCACAGGTAATATTTTAAATAAGTATAGAGGTACTTCAAAATGTTCTGGCTTTCAGTTTTGTTTTACCAAACAAACTTAGCTTAAATTCCATTTTCCATGAACTTTTTGAAGTTCCCACATACATATTTGGCTAACGATGGGTGCTGTGGAGGTTGAGCCATTGCTGACAGGGAGTGGGAGAGCTCCCTGGCTGGATGATTACATTAGAGCTGTTGACCAGAGATGGCAGAAGCCTCAACTAACTTACCCATCAAGAAGGCTGTAAAGAAGCATATAGGACTTCCCGTGGAGTACAGGAATGGCCTTGAACCTGGACTGGAGGACCACAGGGGGCTCAGGAGTTCTGGCTCCATCTCTCATCTCTGCTCTCTGCTACTTTCTCCTGGAAGCTAGTTTTCTCAGTTTCTTAGTGCACTGGGCAGATAATAATGGTCAAAGTCCTGACTGTCACTCCTGCAAGTAAGAGAACAGGTGGTTGGAAACAAGGTCTTACTCCCTGTCCCACGTCCACAGTGAGGAGCCCTGCTGGTCCAGCTAAAGGCAGGTGCTCCTTCCTGAATCAAGTTCAGGTAGGCGGGAGCAAGGGCACGGTAACTGTGTAAGGGCTTGGAGAGCAGGGGCAGTTCTAGAAAGAGGGGCCCAAGATGGGAAGCCCAAGAAGTGTTTACTAAAGTACTCACAAGATGCAATACAATGAGGATTGTAATATGCGGGGTGATTTGTGAACTGACAAAAAAGTACAATGCTAGTAGGCAGTGTTGTGATCTGTAAATAATGTATGGTATCTTGAGTTGAATCTTGTGCAGTCCTGAGAGTTGACGTAGGTGGCCAAAATAGATTTTAAAACAAGTGTGCCATTCATGGATGAATAATACATGGTAGGCCCCATAGCGGAAAAGTGAATGAATTGCTGGTACATGTTCTGCTTGAATGAACCTTGGAAGCATGCTAAGTAAGAGTAGGCAGACCCAGGAAGTCACAAATGGACTGATTCCATTCACGTGAGGTATCGAGGAGAGACGAGCCCATGGAGGCGGAGTAAGCAGGTCACTTGTTAGCAGGGACTTGGAAGGAAACATGTGACTGCACATGGTCACACCATTTCTTTTTTTTAATAATTAATGATTTTTTTAAAAAAAGATTTATTTATTATTTGAAAGGCAAAGTTACAGAGAAGCAGAGGCAGAGAGAGAGAGAGGTCTTCCACCCGCTAGTTCACTCCTCAAATGGCTACAATCGCCCAAGTTGGGCCAGTCTGAAGCCAGGAACCAGGAGCTTCTTCCTGGTCTCCTACGTGGGTGCAGGGGCCCAAGGACTTGGGCCGTCTTCTACTGCTTTCCCAGGCCACAGCAGAGAGCTGGATCGGAAGTAGAGCAGCTGGGACTTGAGCCAGCGCCCATATGGGATGCTGGCACTGCAGGCGGCGGCTTTACCCCTACACCACAGTGCTGGCCCCATACTACTTCTTTTCAAGGTGAGGAAAATGCTCTGGAAATTCATAGTGGTGATAGCCGTACAGCCTTGTTAGCATACTACAAACCGCTGAATGGTGTATTTTAAAAGGGTGAATTTCACAATTTATGAATTATCTTTTTTTCTTTAAAGTGCCATTCATCTTTTTTTTTTTTTTTTTTTGACAGGCAGAGTGGACAGTGAGAGAGAGAGACAGAGAGAGAAAGGTCTTCCTTTGCCGTTGGTTCACCCTCCAATGGCCGCCGCTGCAGCCGGCGCACCGTGCTGATCCGATGGCAGGAGCCAGGATCCAGGTGCTTTTCCTGGTCTCCCATGGGGTGCAGGGCCCAAGCACCTGGGCCATCCTCCACTGCACTCCCTGGCCATAGCAGAGAGCTGGCCTGGAAGAGGGGCAACCGGGACAGAATCCGGCGCCCCGACCGGGACTAGAACCCGGTGTGCCGGCGCCGCAAGGTGGAGG